TTCACAAGAATGTAAATCGCAATAAAATGAATGAACATGCTAACCTTGCAGGCATAAGCACTGCTCCAGCATGACCCCCATTCCCTTCAAAGTCCACCTTAAGACTTGCAGGAGCAGCAATAGCAGTAACAATGCCAATAGGGATACCTATTGTAAGAGAAGACTTGTATACCATCAATTTGAAACTGCAAACGTGTTAATTTACTGGGAACCTACCTTCCTTTTCTAAGATGGGACCCTGCTCAATGTGCAGTTCTATAAAAGCAGAGTACGTGTCTTTCTTTAGAAATACACTAGGCAGGTCCTCTAGATGCAACTTATAGCCAGCAGATTCTGCAGCATCCAAAAATGACACATTCTGATTGTCAACTACTTTTCTGAGGGATTGAGCTAGCTCTTCAATCCCTGCCATTAAGCGGCTGCATATTTTCAAAGGATCAAAAGATGAGAAGCCACAAATTAGAGCAATGCAGCCATTAGCTCAAGCGGAACTAATCTTATTGCTTAATGGTCCACCTTCCCAAACAGCTAATTCCAAATCGTGTAGGCTCCTCTGATGTAAACATGATAACCTCCAAAGACCTTTTTGGCAGGAAAGCAGACCTGTATGACACATGCAGGCCAAACAGGTAAGGTTTGTCTCAAGATGAAAAACAAAGTTAAGTCCAATATTTATATAGCCCGTATTATGACCTCAAAATGTGTGACAACATAGGCAAAACATGTAAGGTTGTGCCAAGTGAATAGTACAGATAGGTCAACCTTTTTTTATCAAACAGCAAAAGCTTGGCCGGTTCTATTGATCTGGTAACAATGTACTGAGTCTCCACAAGGATCCAAAGTAAATCAGTACATTGTCTAATATTTACATACCCTGACATTGGTCAACTCTTTTGTTAAAATTCAGAGTGGTGTAATGATGCCAATGTTCAACAGCAAGGTAGTTCACCGGTTCCTGATTATGCTTTGAACTAAGTATTTCAAGTCTAAAGCACATGTCTAATGTACGTGAGAATGAGATGAAGCACACAGCTTTTCTTTTGCCATTTCGTAAGTATCAAATGTATGCTTCCCAATACTTGGTTGCATCCCACAACTGGCAGAAGTGGGTCTTCAGTTGTCTACTAGACGGTTACAAGAAAGAACTAGTCAATAAGCAGCTCTGTAATTTCACCAAATTAACAACCCTACACTAGCTGATTAAGCACGGTTCATCTGATTCCAATCACATCAGCCCTAGAAACATGACTGTATATGAGATGTAAGATGGTCAACAAACACTGAAGCCAGAAAAAGAGAGGGGAAAAACATCCACGTTACATATGGACAACACTACAACAGTAAAAGAATGCAATACAAAGGATCATCCTTGGTGCTGCAGGAATGGTGAAGACACTTATAGGCAGACAGAACTGTTACCTTTTCAGCAAACTAATCGCCTCAAGAGCACCCAGAACTCCAACAACACCGTCAAATTTGCCTGAGAATGGAATGGCATCAACATGAGATCCAGTTGCAACAGCCCCTAGTCCAGGCTCAGAACCCTCCCTGTAGAAGGTTGTAATGTTCAATGGGCATTATAATTCCAGCACATAGCAAATTTAACAAAATCCAGAGACTTTTCAGCCAGATGTACTATTACAGCAGAATCCTTGCATGCTTCCTAAACCCAGAGAAATGAACCAAGAGCAGAAAATCCAAAGGCTGTCAAAGACCAACTCACCAGCGGCCAAATATGTTACCAACAGCATCTTCCCGAACAGCAAGGCCAAGTTGATTCATTATCCCTTTTATATACCTAGACATCAGAATCACAAGCCAACAATCAGCAAAGGGGGATGTCCACTTTGTTAAATAAACTAACAGCTATCTGAACCCAGAATAATGCAAACTGAAGTTGATCGATCATTGCTGTGTACATCAAAGGTCTCTCAAGCGTGGCACGTTCTACGGCCAAAATCGATGACAAGCACACTCTTCAGAGGACTAATGCCCGAGTCGTTCTTTCGTCCACTCGCTTGCTCTCACGACAACCGGACAACGGATAATATCAACTGCGTTACCTTCGAGCCTGCACATCCTTGTCGGTGTACAGAACGCGGGTCACGGACGGCGCGGGAGAGTCGGAGAACGAGGCCAGTTCAGCAATCTGCGAAAAAAAGCACACGCCGTTGGAAACCAACACCTCACTTCACAGCCATAGCCTGCACATCACGAACGCACCTGCCGCTGGAGGCCCTCGGAGTCGACGCGGAAGTCGCTGGAAGGGCCGCCGTCGCCGTCGTCGGAGGCCGGGAAGCCGGCGAACTGCTCCATCGTCCGCCGCGCCGCCGCGTCATCGTGGCCCGCGGCGGCGCTGATGCCGAGGAGGAACGCGAGGAGGACGAGGCGCGAGGCGGCGGTCGGCTTCGACGGCATGCTTCGTTTTCGGCTGGCTGCTCCTGCTCTGCAGGGTTCGATGGGACAGACGGGGGGGGCGGCTACTTCGTGGGGCTAGGGAGATTTGAACGGCGGGCGGGGGAGGTGGGAGTGGGAGACGACGCGACGGCACTACCACTGATGCTGTTGGAGTGTTTGGTGGTGGTCACCTGACTGCTGCGTCTGCGTGCTGACGAGGAAGACGACACGGCGGCGGTGGCTGCTTCCTCACGATCACGAGCGCAATCCTATTTTAATTTATTTTATTTATTTAAGGAAGAAGTCTATTTTTAGCTTCCAACTATAGCTACAGTTTATTTCTAGCCCTATAACTCAAAAACCAGACACGCGCGGTCTCTTAACTCTTAAAACCAGTTAAAATTGGCCCTCACGCCCATTCGACCCAGTCAACCCGCCACGATCGCAGTTTCGGCCCAGTCTCCATGTCTGACGAGCCGGGTCCACATCACAAGCTTCCATCGTCTCGGTGCTTTTAGCCGCAGCCGAGGCTGATGTTGAAATCGACGCCATCGGTGACCGCCTCGACGAGGTCTGTCCGCGCCTCATTGCCGTCCTCCCACCACCTCCGATCCCATTTGTGAGCTTAAGCTTGCTGGCAGCAGCGATTGACCGCCGCCCGTCGCGCCGTGAAACCCCTCCATGGCGTTGCACCGTGTCCACGCCGCTGAGGAGGAGGCCGCGCCACCCATGAACCGGGCGACGCTGAAAGTGCGGTCATGTTCGTCGACCGTGTGGACCCGCCGCGGGACGCCGAGGAAGTGGTGGCACGCGCGAAGAAGGCCGTCGAGAAGGGTGGAGAGGCGGTCGGTTTCTAGGCGGACCAAAGCGGCCGGCCGAAATATGTCCGGAAGCCGGCCGAGAGGTTACCGCAATGCATGGCCTTGGTGTCTGAGACGAAGCCGAGGAGATGCGCTTCGAGGCCCACTCGACGATGCTCTCCTCGGCCTCAGAGCTCTTCGAGGCGCCGCTCCTCGAGCCAAAACACCGGTGCTCGTGGACAACGATGTCGCCGCATGCCGAGAGGGAGGCGCGGTCGGTACTGGAGCTGGCAATCGACGACGCAGGTGGAGGCCGCCGCAAGGATGGCGGGACGCCTTTCGAACGCAGCAGCGCTGGACATCGCCTTGACATCTACGTCCACGGTGATTCATTTTCTCTAACCTCTACCGCAGCGATGGCCGATGGCGATCGAGTAATCGAAATAACGGTGGGTGACGTCACTCGAGACGAGGTGCAGGAGAGCGACCAAAGGCGATGATGCGGCTCAACCGGCGTACCTCAAGTTGTACACCCGAGGAGATCGGCGCCATGGAGTGGGAGTCATTTGGAGTTGGCCATGGCGCTATGGAGCCCGATTTCCACATGGCTATCGCCTCCCGTGCTTTCGTCGTGGGCGCGCGGCTCTACGCACGCGCGTGCTCGAGCCCCTACCACGACCGGTGCGCCCGAGTGCTTTGCCAAGATCGCCGCCCGCAACATCGCGGCATTCTTCCGCTTCACGGACGGCGTGGTCATCGCGGCAGCTTGCGAGCCGCAGTCATCATCCAAGCAGCTCGACATGCTCGACGCGGTGGCCGGGAGGGGCGCTGGACAAGCTCTTCTCCAACAAGTCGGCCACGCTGGTCGTCATCCGCGATCGCGCGCAGGGCGAGTGGAAGCCTTGTTGTGTGCGCCGTGTCGGCGTGTTCTTGGAGTTCGGTCTCGCGATCGAGGCGCTCTACGCCACCGCGCCGGCGCGACGCTGGGCACGTGCCCAAGATTGTGCGATCGCCGTGAACTCCCTCAAGTGCCTCGCGTCCGACGACTATCTGGCGCTCATGGACACCATGGCTGCCAGCGTGGATCTCGAGAAGCGCGGCGACGAGGACGAGGACGTGGGCGAGGGTGACCACGCCCCGCTCGCCGAGGCGATGGCGAACGTGGGGGAGGCGCTGCACCGGCACGTCGAGGCGGTGCGCGGGGTGTGCCCGGACACCGTGGCATCGCACGTCATGGCCATGAACGCGTACTGGTACATCTACGTGCACGCCCGGGGCTCGAAGCTAGCAAAGCTGGTGGGCGAGGACACCAAGCGCCGCCGGTACAAGGCGGCGGCCGAGGAGGCAGCGTGGGAGTACCAGGGCGTGGTGTGGACCCCGCTGGTCCGGCTCATCAGACATGGAGACTGGGCCGAAACCGCGGTCGTGGCGGGTTGACTGGGCCGAAACCGCGGTCGAATGGGCGCGAGGGCCAATTTTAACTGGTTTTGAGAGTTAAGAGACTACGCGTGTCTGGTTTTCGAGTTCGAGGACTAGAAACAACTGTAGCAATGGACTTTTTCCTTTATTTAAAAAAAACAGATTCACAAGTGGAGCTGCGGCGCGGGCCAGCCCGGATGCTCTGCGGATGATCGCCTGCGGCCTGCGTGTGCAGGTGTTCGTTTGTGGCTTCGTGCAAATAATCAGAGGATCCTTCCTTCGGCCCCTCCAGGATCCGGTTCCGTGGGACCCACGTCTCAACGTTTGGCCCAATAGCTGCCTGTGGAGTGAAACAACTAAGAAGAGCCCGAGTATTCTCTGCCCATGGGCCGCACGCACGGCAGGACAGGACAAGTAAACGCAAGGCTTAAAATCAAAACCGAGCCGCACGAGCACACCCTCGCGTATCCGGACAAGTCCCGTGCTCTCCCGTCTCAAAACCCTCCCCTCCTCCTCCTCCGGCGGCGGCGGCGGCCGGGCGTCTTCTCCGGCAAGGTCTCCCCCCACTCACAAGGTTCGCGCTCACTCTTCCTCCTAACCCGCCCCTTTTCATCCGTACGCGGTCGCGTGCTCCCGCGGCAGCCCTAGCGAGCGCCGAAGAGCTCCGAGGTGGGCAACTAGGGTTTGAGTGCGCGCGCAGTACCCTTGTGCTCTCGTCCGCGTAGTTTGGCCTGCTTGATGGACGCGACTGCGTCTGGGCGTTTGGATCGATTTGTGTGCGCCCGTTTGGGGTCTCGTGGTGTGAGCTCACTGCTCTGCTGCTGATTAGGGTTTGCTGTCTGTGCTGTTTCCCGTCTGCTAGTTGCCGAGGCGTTCGGGTTTGTGCTGTTCCGTGATTGGGATAGGTGGATCTGCGGGGGGAATGTGTTTTGTGGTGTGCGGGCGACGAGCTCTATCAATTTGGGTATGTGTGGTTATTAGTTCAGCTGGTTTTGTGCGGTGCCTGCACTGCCTTAGTTTTCCCCCCTTGTTCGACTCCTGCAGACCTCATATTTGAGAGCTACTATGCATCTGTATAATTAACTTGAGCTTGGTTGCTTATTTGTTTCCAGGAAATATGGATGGACCTGTTGATGACCCTGTGGAGAACAACCTCACCGGAAATCCTAGTACCCTTGGCAATGAGGAAGAAGCCAATACTTATGCTGATGTGCAAGTCAAGGAAGAACCAGAAAATCTCTATGACGAGGAATCCAAGGAAGAACCAGAAAATCTCTATGTGCAAGTCAAGGAAGAGCATGCGAACATGAACAATGAAGATGTGGGAGGTCAGAACAAGGAGGACCAAGCTACCCCCACAGAGCACGGTGAGGAAGCTGGGGTGAAGCAGCAGGATGCTACAGTTCCTGATGACAGGAAGTGGCCTGGGTGGCCTGGAGAGAGTGTGTTCCGTATACTGGTTCCTACCACAAAGGTGGGTGCCGTCATTGGGCGCAAAGGGGATTTCATCAAGAAAATGTGTGAGGAATCCAGAGCTCGCATCAAGGTTCTTGAGGGACCACCAGCTGTGCCAGAAAGAGCGGTAAGTCTTTCACTCTCTTCTTTAACTGGTTGCATTGCTATTACAAATAATTTCTTGTTCAGTGTGCCCAGTAATAGTCCTCTAGGCATGTTAGTATTCATGTGCGAAGATCACTTGTTGCCTACACCGATAAGTATGCTATAGTTGTACTTTAAAAGACCTAGATTAGACATGTATATAGTTTGTAGCATATTGGTGATTAATTTCTTTTTAGACGTGTTGAAGATTGAATCAGCTAGGGAACGTTTCCAAGCATATAAATTGCTATTATATTTCCCTGACCACTGATACTATGCATTCTATCAATTGATGCTTTGTGAACATGGTTATTTATCGATCTGAAATAGTTTAGTCGTTAGTGTGTGTATATTATCTGGAAGTTCGAGTTTACTTTAACAACGTAACTGTTATTTAGTCGTGAAAGCCACATGGAAAACTTGCTGCAAGTTGTAGAAATGAACAGGAACTAGTAATTGAAATTTTGTATTGTACATTGTAATTTGACATACATCTGCAGCCTATCAATTGAAATTTTGTATTGTACAATGTAATTTGACATACATCTGCAGCCTTGTTGAATAAAGCCTCCTTTCTGAAGTGAAAGCTCTTCTAAACATTTTATTTAGAAGTTCAAACAGTTTAGCCTAGCGATCAGGTGCATATACTGCTCCTGATAATTGGACTCATGTTCATATTAACTCCAGTGCAATTTTATATTAAGATGAGATTTGATCATCCAAGTTACTACACTGAAAGTTGTATACTAGTAACAGTGAATAGCTGCCCATAGAGAATGGCTATGTGCTCGGAGTAAATAGTTTATAAAAAAAATGAATATAGATTTCAAGATAATAAGTGAAATCCGTTTTAAACTTTGCAGTAGAAATAATTATGCATAATTTTGGATTTTTTACAATGATCACAAAACTATTGGATGCAACCAAATGAAAGGGAAAAGAATCTCTCTTCTGTAAGAAGTATGACTCTATAATTGACTAAGACAGAAATAGTAGCTTTGCCAAATTATACATCATTCTAAAGATATGTATTGTGTACACTAGTGAATTATCAATAATGTTCGATATCTACCTGGATCAAATAGTTATGATTGCATACATGAATGTCCTTCATTCTAAAAGAAGATTGGATCAGTTATCAAATGGTACACTGATTTTGACCAACTCAGTAGTTATTTATGTGAATGCGGACTAAAATAAAATACTATGACATGGTTCTTTGGTTAACTGTATATTATGAGGCCTGTTAACACATTCTTGATGCTAACCCTAAAAGTAGCACAAATAAAGGCACTCAAACTAAAAAGGAATAGATTGTCAGCAAAATGGCTCTCAAGCACGGAACATAATAGTTTTGTCAAAAATAACAAACTAATCTTTGCAGGTTCTTACTGCTGTATAAGGCCTCAAGTTGAGTCGTTTGTGTATCCAAATTCCAATATAGACGTACAATCATGGTTACCAAAGTACAGTCTTGTGCTCCTCTGCTGCACATGTGATTTAAGTCTTTTGAATATTGGATGAAGATCCCTGTGAAGAAGCTGCATATATTGTCGGGTAATTCCATGACCTGTTGCTTTGACCAAAAAGGCATCCGTTAGTTAACAACAGAAGACTAAAATACTGCACAGAACCTTAATTTTAGGTCCTAATCATTTCCTAATTAATGCTCTGATACTTTTATAAAGACATGAGAACTGCAAACAAAGAATATGAATATATAGTTCCCAACTCGATGCTTCCTCTTATATTTTAGGGGAATTGGTTTTGCTGAACCAATATTGTAACGTACCATTATCGTTTGTTAATGTCATCAAACAATATGTTACACTGACTAAATAGATCTATTGTTTTTGCTCTTGGGGATTAAGAATCGCATATATATAATAAAATAAACATTCAAATTGAAAGTAGATTGCCTGTATCAGAAATTCCATTATACATACCCATAGAAGCAACAGTCTTGACACATGTACAGTAGTTAAGGAAAACTATTGATGCAGTTAAGGACATGTCTATTGCTTTAACCTGGGGGCATTGCCTCAGTTATCTTGGTGAGTAACTGCGTGCAAATATGTATGTTTGTCTGAGAAATTGTAGTTGAAACCCAACTAAATGTGCATAAACATAACCATTACCATTTTGTCTATCTACCGCAGGATGGAAATACTGTCCTTATACCATTATTTCCTTTCATAAGTCTTTGTGCATGTTGCTATAAACTAATCTTTCTCTGTCTAACATACTTCTGTTCCTACTTGCTGAGATCTTGATACTGCTTTCCTGTTTGAAGGTAATGATTTCAGCAAAGGATGAACCAGACACAGTGCTACCTCCAGCTATTGATGGGTTGCTTAGAGTTCATAAAAGGATAACAGATGGTTTAGATGGTGAAACTGATCAGCCTCAACGAGCTACTGTCACCGCTGGGCCGACAAGGCTGCTGGTCCCGGCTTCCCAAGCTGGCAGCCTGATTGGGAAGCAAGGAGCAACTATTAAATCAATACAGGATGCTTCAAAGTGCGTTCTCCGGATTGTTGGTAAGGTTTTACCTTTTTTCCTGCGTTGACTTTGTTACGGCAAGGCTTTATGATCTCATACCCTTGCAGTCTTGCTGATAATACAGATTTCTATAGTTCTTTGAAATTGGTTTTGATAGCCAAGGATCAATCCGTAGATGGCAAATGTGTGTGGGTTATTTGTTCTAGGCAATGTTTTCCTAAACGGTAAACGGTCTTTACACGGTCGCCCTTCGTTTAGCGTTTAGGCTGTTTACACGGTGTTTAAACGAAGTTAAACGGTCTAAACGGTTTTGTACTTTAAAAAAAATACATATAATTATATATGTGCATGTAAAAAATCAAGTATTCTAGCATTTATACATATTTATCCGAGTAAAAATCAATTATTTTGGTATGTATATATATTTATGCATGTGAAAAGAACCAAATATAGATATTTATGCATGTAACATATCAAGTGTACACATTTATAAATATAATAAACTTAAGTATACAAATTTATCCATACAAAACTGAACTAGATTTACCTCGGGTTCGCCTAAACAGCCGTTTAAACAGCTGTTTAGCCCGTTTAATGCTGTTTATCTCCGTTCCGTTTAGGCTGTTTAGACCGTTTTCCCCGTTTTTTGACCGTTTAATTTTCGTTTACCCCCTAAACAAAACAGTTTACCACCGTTTACTGTTTACTGGCCGTTTAGTTTAGGCGAACACTGGTTCTAGGAGTACTGTCTGCTTTCACATGAAATATATTTTCGCACATATTGATTTGTGCACTTAGTTACTAGATATTGATGTTTTTTATGATCTTTGATAAGCAGACTTGACAAGATTGACCGATTTAGTTTATCTGTTACATTTGTGCATGCATGTGTATCTGTGACAGAAGTCAGCCTTAGAATTCCACTCTTCTGAACTGATAGATGTTATGTGGAGTATGATTTAATTAACCACATCCAAAATTGTAGCATTTGCTGCTCCCCTTTGCTTTTTAGGCTATCTAATCTTTTCTTTTTATTTTTTTAGTATTCTTTCTGGATCATGTTTGATCATTTGTACTTTCTACCCTTATTTCTGCAAGTAATTTCACTGGAAGCCCCGCATTGCATATATTTGCATGGTACATCAGCCATTTCACTAATATACTATTTTTCCATCACAGAGAATGTTCCACCTGTTGCATTAAACGATGACAGAGTTGTAGAGATACAGGGTGAACCTCTTGATGCTCACAAAGCCGTGGAACTGATTGCAAGTCATTTAAGAAAATTTCTTGTTGACCGCAGTGTCCTTCCTTTGTTTGAAACACAGGCAAGTTTTATTCTACTATGCAGCATATTGGTTACCTTACATGAAGTATTTGGTAATCATAAAACATAAATTTCCTTGACAGATGAAAGCGCACAATGTGCACAGAGAGCAACCTATGCCTCCTCCACAGGCATGGGGTCCCCCTCCGCCCTCACCCTGGGGTCATCCACCACCAAACCTTCCTCCTGGTGGCCCAGGTTATGGTGGGAACCCACAGTACATGCCTCCACCTCCACGGCCACAAGAGAGCTATTATCCTCCTCCTGATGTGCCCCCTGTAGAAAAGCAACCACACTATGGAATTTCTTCATATGGACGCGATGCACCTCTGAGTGCTCCCCAGGAATCAAAACCAATCACATGGGTCTTCTCAGGTTAGTTTCTACACATTTGACTGTTATTAATATGATGAATTATTCGCATGCCTATCTCATGATCATTTGTACTTAACTTTTTTTTTGTGATTTTATATGACAGGTGACACACAGCATGCAAGTTCCTCTTTCCTATGCTGATGCTGTGATAGGATCAGCTGGTGCCAGTATCAGCTACATCCGCAGACATAGTGGAGCAACTATAAGTATTCAAGAAGGTGCTCCTGGGGAGATGACAGTGGAGATAACAGGAAGTGCTTCACAAGTACAGACTGCTCAACAGCTAATCAAGGTACTTTTCCTCCTTATTAAACTGCATCAGCAATTTGGTTAACACATATGATATTGCTACAATCCATTTCCGACCTTCTGATATTGTTGCACTTCACTAAATCGATGCCACCTCTCCAACCAAGTATACTCTGCCTCTAATTGGATGCTTCCTGGATTGGTACAATGCTTGGGGGATACACAACTATCGCATGAATAGGACCATATGTACCAGATGTTACATATAGTGCATTGTGAAAAGACCTGGCATCATATCTTGTTACTTTAACCAGCGTAGATGCTTGTCATTTACCTAGGTCAATAATCTTCACATGTCACTGGCTTAATCTGCCATCACGTCACTGGTCGCCAACGTTGGGAGTTACCCATGCTGCCCTTATACTGGGAATACTAGCATAGATGACCTTTTCATTTGATTGGTATGTTCTCTGTCCACTGCACACTTTTTGTTTTCCATTAACTGAGCAGTGATATCTATCCTCTTGCAGAATTTCATGGCTGAAGCTTCTCCCCAGGGACCACCAGCTCCACCTGCTCAACCAGTGGACACGGGTTACAGCTCGTATCCACCGTACGGTGGAGCATCATATGGGTCTCCTCCCGGTGCCCCAGCTCCAGCGCCTCACAATGGTGGAAGCTATGGCGCTGCACCATACCCGCCGAGCTATGGATACTAATCCGGAGCAAGAGCTTGCTTCAGACTTAGGGAAGGAGGGTTATGTTCTGGGTTTGTTGCTAGTCTGTTCATCTGCTGAGAACTCAAGCTCGTTAGGACTTGTGAACTTACTTTTGGTGTTGTAAGCTGCTTTCTGACGCCATTGCCGATTCTTCTCTTAATACTCTCTTTGCTCTATGGTTGCTGAATTTATCATTAACCTAGTATTTTCATATTCAAGAGAAAAAAAAATATTAAGAACTCCAATGTCATTTTTTCTCCCTAGCTGTGCGGGGATTGAAAAAAAACTTGCTAGCTTATTTTGCTAGTGGTGTCATGTTGCCTGCCACTTCGTGTCACAGGTCCTCATTAGCTCTTTTATGTTCGAGAACGTGTAATGAAAAGAGGAAAAAAAAGATGGTGATGAGATGCGGAACTAATAATAGCTGGGTAATGAGCTACCCAAGATAAAACAAAATAACGGGCCTCCAAAAGTTTGGCGCTCTCATATTTTTTTAATGTTGGAGAAACACAACAAAAATTTTCTCACTTATTTTGACTACTTGGAATAACACGGATGATTAAACAAGTAGAGTATTTTTTAAGAAACTCTAGGAGATGCTCTGGGAGGTTAAGATTCAATACCCTGTTGCAAACCATTTCATCATTTGGTCCGGAGAAATTTGAGCTCTACAAAGATGTTTTACTTATTTGTTTATTTATTACTCGTCGTAAAAATCTAACGCCAGATCCCCTTAAAAAACACTCGACGCCAGATGAAGACATTCTGACTCCGTTCGCGTGTCCTTAGACCCGGCCTGATCCGCTTCTTTTTTCATTCACAACAGTGTTTTTCTCTCATAAATTCCTCCAGCATTTCTCCAAACCATCTAAATTCTTCTATAATTCCTCCAGCCGAACATCCCCTCTGATTTCTGATCTCTCACGTGGCTATAGCTAGACTAGCCTATAAATCAGTCGTGGAATTCACGTGATGGAACCTATTAGCGCACGGTGCTAGCGTGCTCGGTTTGGAGATTATTGGGTGCTACAGTACATCAGAGTGCTGATCTAGCCTTTCAATTCAAAGGCGTTATATACTTGAAGTGCGGCTATCAACGCGTAAGACGGATTCGAGTCATTTTTCATCTGGATTTTCTACAAGTTTGCACGCAAGGCTTGACTTGTGCGGAACTGCTACCGACCCCAATTGACTTCCTTTCAGTGGACTGTGGGCCCCAAGCTCACAGACTTTGGCGGCACGTTATTGGAAAACTTAGACCCAAAGCACTATAAGATAGGACTGCTAAGGACAACAATTATTTACTTTTTTTTAATCAATGGCCACTGCTCGCTTAAGTAGAGGCATGCAACGCCCCACAAGGCACACCTATTTCTTGCAAGAACCGGTTTGAATATGATAAAATCGAATTAGCCTTAGCTGCTTCCCCACTCAAGCCTTGTTTAAATCTAGTGCAAAAAGTTTTGGGATGTCGCATCGGGTGTCACGTGAGGTGTTCGTATGCTAATAAAAAAACAAATTACAGAATCCGTTAGTAATCCGCGAGATGAATTTATTAAGCCTAATTAATCCGTCATTAGCACATGTGTACTGTAGCACCATATTGTCAAATCATAAACTAATTAGGCTTAAAAGATTCGTCTCGTAAATTAGTCGCAAACTGTGCAATTAGTTAATTTTTTAGTCTATATTTAATACTCCATACATGTGTCAAATATTCGATGGGATAGGGAGTAAACTATAGGAAAGAAACTAAACAAGGTCTCCGTCCTATAACTATAAAAGAATATAAAAGATTCTCATATTTCTAAGAGAAAATTATATAAACAAGTAAATAAACGCATGGAACCTATACTTTTTTTTGGTCATGGGTGAATATAATCGAGGACATCTAGGTACTTCATTACATGACATAAATTTTTTGGAGTTCCAACAACATTTTACTAAAAATTTACAAATTTCATCTGGGTCGATGGATCCCGACAAACACAACTAGATCTGCCCCTGATTTTTATCCTTCCCATGTGTTGGTTAGACTAAGGTAACTGATCATTACATCCACAAAACTATATATTTTATACCATCAAGCAACTACATGACACACTTCTTCGTGGGATACCATACATAGAGTTTGGGACCCGCAAGCTAATCCTAAGCTAGAGTTGCATTGGGTCCAATCGGTTGTGGCGGTTGCAGCTGTGTTGCAACTGCAACTAGACCGTTTGGCGAGCAGCTGTTGTTGCATTGTGTTCGACAGTGGCAGTTGCATTCTAGCCCGCAGCCAGCTCTACCCAGCAGGCTGATTATTTTTGGGACCTTCGAATCCTCTAGAATTTGAATTTTATTCTTTCTAGAACGACCGGAGTATATCATTACATATAAACATGTACTCCCTCCGCCTCCAAAAGAATGCAATTCTGTAACAATATCATGTTTTAATATATCAAGTTTGACCAATTATAAATAAAAAGTATAAATATTTATAATATAAAACAAATATCATTAGATTAATTACAAACTGTAGTTTCATAATAAATTAATTTGGAGACATAACGTGAATATTATTTACTAGAAACTTGGTTAAATGTGAAGTACTTTAACTAGCACGTAACCCATAGTTGCATCTTTTAGGGAGAGGTAGTACTTCCTCTATCTTGGGATGATAAACATATTTTATATAGGAAAAAAGTCAACTTTTACAAACTTTGTTCAAGAACTATTCAAATTTTGTACTATTTTATGACAAAACTTGCACCACTCGATTTGTATTCAAAGTGTCTGTGAGATGATATTGGTCTTTTTTTATAAAAAAACATACTATATAAGAGAATTAAGAGTCAAAATAGATTTTGCTTGACTTTTACCTAATCAAAATACGCTTATCATTTTAGGACAAAGAGTATATGGTATGTAAGGAAGCTAAAAACTCACTCAAATCCGTCGTTCATAATTAAGTTGATCAATACAAATTAGAGTTGGTCCTAGGTACTTGTTTATTGTTTATATTAATTATTTGTTCAAATGTCACAGCAAAATAGGCCAACCGTTAACCATTATGTTCCCTGAAAAAATTATGTGATGAAAGTACAGACACATAGGTGTAAAAGAAAGACTTTATGCTAAATATATCAAATGTTTGGTCAGACATAAGCAGCTGTCGATGTATCCAACGTTCCAAACCCTCTCTCCCCTCCCCTGGCCTGCTGTGCATGCTGCTAGGATGTTCCAATCGATTTTGTTTCCCTTTTAGCTTATCAGTGTATTAATCATTCTTAGCAAGATAATAGTGACAGCCGACAGATGGCAAGTTAGCCTGTTCTGTCGCTCAATAATGAGAGCCTTGATAAAGAAAGAAATCAAGGCACTTTTTTTTAAAAAAAGAAGAAGAGGCAGAAGCAGATGTATTTTGTAAAACATTAAGCGCATTTTTTGGAACATAGGAATTTCAAAATGATTTGCCTGAAAATTAACTCACACCTGGCAGATAGAAAAGTTTTTTTTTTAAAATATAACATAATAATAAGGGAAAATAAAGTAGCTTCCCTTTTTTTTTGCGACGAAGTAGCTCCCAATTATGTCATGTCCTTGCTTGGACGTCAGACAGTAGTGTACAATGCTGGGCCATTGCTTGAAGCTAAATCCCATCCTTGACCTCTGTCACTTTAATTGCAGTTCATGAGACATAATCTTGCACCAAGATCACCCACCTTAAATTCCCTGTACGAAATTGTTAGATCTCCCTAGATTAGGGGGGGCTGTATCTGTATGGATAAGCCAAGAACTTCAAGTGTGGTTGACCAAGCAATAAATCGTCGGTCGGTGACGCCTGTTCGCTTGAAGTCCAATAATGCTAGCCTGTTCGCTGGAACTACTTCAGCAGCACTTCTCAGCAAACGAACAGTGTTTTCTTCTCACACCAAATCAGCATAAGCATCGTTTTGCTGAAATTTAGCTGATGCTTGCTTATGCTGATTTGTTGCGACTGCCAGTAAGCATCAGCTAACGTGTTCAATTGTCAACCTCTTGTTAGAAGCATTGAAAGCTAAGAAGAACAAACATGAGACTGGAAATGCTAATAAACTATTTCCTGCCTACTTTTGTTCTCATAGGCCCTCCTGAAATTTCTTGACAAAAATATGACCATGATGACAAAGCTTCTTCCAAATAAAAAAAAAACTCCATACGAAGTTTTAGTTAGAGCATTCATTCATCTTCTAGATTACCTCTCAAGATTGCAGAGTGGTACAGATTGATGGGGAAATCATTAACACATAATGCTTTACACAAGAGCAACAGTACTGGGGTGGCAAATCACACCAACAACAGCTTTGCACCTTTCCTTCTGGAATGCTTACACCTGGAAAACCCAAATGGTCCTAAACCTGCAGCGGTCAGTACGGACCTCCTAATCCAACCTCTTGTGTCAACAAAAGAGGTGATGTAATATTTCAGAAAAGCAAAAGCAACATACACAGGCAAGTCATGGCAAGTGAACTTGTGCACGCTAAAAGCCAACCCTGCCATCCTAATCCACCCTTCTACAACAATGCGCGGTTGTTCACTTCCTTTTGTCAATCTTTGCTTTCAACCCTTCAGACTCACCGGCAAAGCTCACCGGTCGCTATCGGACGCCGCATTTTCCTTCCTGCACCATCTTTCAATTATACTACATGCCACAGCTCACAAGAAAGATGAACAACTTGGCAGCAGTCCCCACTATAGCATCTGTAACAGCGTGTAGCTCAAGGAGGGGCCAAGAAGCTCATCAGATTCTCAAATGGCTCCATGTTCATCGCTGCTGCATTCGAAAATCAAAGGCCTGGGATTCTAACATGACCAGGTCATCCTTCAGAAAAGGCCTGGCCCCGGCGCTTCCTGAATGGAGCGACAGTTTACTGATCTTCTAGGTCTGGGCAGGTTGTGCTGGCAACTGGTTATGATTGTGCTCGCCTTCGTATGTCACGATTAGCATCGCTGGGTCGTCTACGCATCGCTCAACG